TATCAAATATCAAAGTTCATTTATCTTAAGTATGACTATATGATTATACATACTCTTTATGAGTCAATTATTTATTCGATGTGAGACTATAATTATGGATAACAGTTAGAGATGAGAGAAATATATTTTTTTACTCGATGTGGGACTTTGATTTTATAAGTAATTAGAAAAAATAATGTTAAGATAAAAAAATGTTACTTATTAGTAGAAACATTTTTTTTAAAAAAAAATGTTGCAAAATAACTTACGTGACATTTTTTTTATTCGATATGAGACTTTAATTTTAAAAAGAATTAGAAAGAATAATATTAAAATAAAAAATGTTACTCTATCTATAATAACATTTTTCAAAAAAAAAAAGGTTACAAAATAAATTATCTATTTAATATATAGTAACATTTTAACAAATGTAAGGAAGAAAATGTTGCTAAAGAATTAAAATGTATTAGTGATTTTAAGTGATAATCAATTATTTCAGAAACCTATTTCTGAAATAATTAATTATTTTGCTAAATAATATATTATTACAGCAAAGCTTCTTAGATTATTAAAAACCAAAGCAAATAATTTGTTAATACTCAAGATAATCGATTCTTTTAAGTGAAAATTTAATATCTTAATTTTTCATGCCAATTCTCTTTTCAAATCATTTTTAAAATTTCCTTTCATCATCAAACATCATATAGATCAAGATACGAGACTAAGTTACCTACAAAGCACAAAGCACAAAGCATACAAGTAACAATGCTTAAACACACAAAATACAATTTGCACTTTTATCTTTCAAAAGGCTTATATTTGTAAATATCAAAACTAAATACACTATCTCTTCATCTTGAGTTTGATTAATAAAAGGAAATGAAGTATCAAATAATTTTTTAAATTTTTTAAAAATTTGCAGATTTAATATATGCATTAAGAACTTTAAATTTAACGGTTGGATCGTTGAAATTTGATATAGAATATGAGTTATTGAATGGAGTAAGTCTAGTCACACACATATGTAAAGGGTGTGAATATATTAATCTTATGTATTTTAGTTGTTCCATTACTAGTAAGTGATTTTGTTAACTGTAGAGATTGTGACAAGTCATTATGATATCGGTGTAATTAGTTGTTGTCTATAAATTTGATTTTGAAAGTATGTGTGAAAGTTATTTATTTATTTATTTGTTTTTATTTTTATTTTGACTTATGAGTGGTGTGCAATATAAATTTTGATTCCAAAGTACGTGTGAAAGTTTTTTTTTTTTCTATATTTTTGCAATGTAACTGAACTCTTAAAATTTTTCTCTCGATAGTATATGCATACTCTTTAATTTATATTCCATAATGAATTTATTCATTTTTAAATTATTTATAATCCCTTCTTACAAAATTTTTTAAGTTATAAAACAAAAAATTATGAATTTATTTATATATTAACTAATTTTAACTAATTTTTAAGTTAATAAATTAAATAGAAAATATAATTATATAAAAAAATTTAAAAATGAAATTGTAAAAAAAATTGCATCTGAAAAATTGATTATTCAATAACCAATTTTTCAATGCAAAAATTTAAAATTTAAAATTAAAAAAAATTTAAGGTGAGAAATTTGTCACCAATTTCTCAATTTGAATAATAACCATAACATTTTGATAAATATATTTTAAAATATGATATTTTGATAATTTTTTTGTAGTATTATAATAAAAATGTTTATAAATCATCTCATATATTAAAAATGACTTTTTTTAAATACTATTGTGATATAATATAAATTATTTATCATAAATTTTAAACATAATTTATATTTAAAAATATTTATTTACATAAATTTTAAATATAATTTATATTTATTTATTTTAAATCATAATATTATTTATCAAATATTATTTATCATTAAAAATAATAATTAATCTCTATTAAAAATTATAAATATATATAAAATAAAAAAATTAATATAATTTATTTTATATTCAAAATCAAGATTTATACTTTAAGACATTTTAATGAAGAAATACACATCTTTATCTGTTATGCCAGCAATGTTGGTAGTGACCGGTGAGGATTCAGATTTGATTCCGGACACTTTTATTCGACATATATATTTTTATTGTTAACTCAAAATATGAAAAGAAAAAAAAAAGAAGGTAAAAGTGGAAAATTGCATCAACCGTAAATATGTGTCAATTTGGCAAAGGGCAAAGTTGTGAACTAAAAAATGAAATAAAATAAAAATAAAAAAAATTAAGTGATGGACATAATTAAAAGCTGTGTACCTCTGAGAGAGGAAAAAAACAAAAGAAAAAATCAGGGAGGTCAGATGTTTGATATGATCACATGAGTGGCACGAATCTAATAATGTATACCACTTATTGACGTCCTTCACAAAAGAGATTATAATTAGTATTCATATATATTCATGAATATTCATAAATATTAAAAAGTTTATATATATTTATTTAATAAATACTCACTCAAACATATAAATTAATATTAAACAAATATAAGTATTTATTCGACAACTTTTATGGGAGTAGGGACATTCTAAGGTACAGGCCCCACCACGTTCTCATCCTTCATTTGACACAAATCCCAAAGACCAATTGACAGGAATGAATGGTGAGATGGACTGATGGAGTACTAGAGGATCAGAATGTAAAAAATAAAATAAAATAAATAATTAATTAATTATAATGTATGATATAATAAAAAACAAATTGACATTTCATGAGGTTAAACTTAAAAGTGTAGAGAATCACAACCCGTATTAGAGGGTATTTATGAGAGATTATAATCTTTCATTTCAATGATTTTTTTCAAAAAAAAAATTACCAAAAACATTGTGTACTGGCCGCATCCCGCATCCGGGCTCTAAGCCTGGATTAGCGAGACAAAAGTCATACCAGGCACGCGCTGAACAATAACAGCCCGGAGCCTGGACAGATCACACCCGAACCCGGGAATCTCATCTCAGGCCCAGGGCCCAATACAACTCGAAAACCACCTCAAGGTACGTGCATTATATATGAGACTATTATTCGTGCAAACCCTAACTTTGGCATCGGAGTCTCTTTTGCAGGTACCACCCCCATCTTGGAGCATCAGCGTACCAGTGAAGGAGGCTCATTAATCTTACCTGGCGGATCAGCTCCACAGCAGATTTCCGGTAAGAACATCTGGCGCCCACCGTGGGGCCGATCAGACCAAGCTCTTATCGGCTACCCGCACGGTCCGTACCAGGAACCGTATCAGACGAGCACCCAAGCAAAATGAGCAACGAACATACAGCTTCAGGAGACTCGACCCGCGTCACCAACCTGACAATCCTAAAGAGCACAACTGCCCGCGCTCAAACCCAATGGCGGTACCCCGATCGTCCCTCCGACTCACCACCCGGCCCCGACGAGACAGTCCGGGACCTGGAAGACCGGGCAGCAGGGCCTAGCCCCCCAAACCAATTAGTAAGCACAATTGCGGGCGGCTTCGCAGGGGGCGGCGCCAGCAGCTCGTCCCGGAAAAAACACCTACGTAAAGTCAACCGCGTACACCCCGCCACGTACACTGTACACCGAGACTCGCCCTCCATATCTTTCTCCAACGACGACTACGTCGGAATCAGTCCAAATCAGGACGACCCCATGGTCGTGACAGTAACTTTAGCCAATTGGGAAGTTCGCAGGACCCTGGTCGACCAGGGAAGCTCGGCCGATGTCCTATACTGGCC